TGTATAGTTTGAAAAGGATGCCTGGTGAAATCCTGAAGTGGAGTAGGCTATATATAATCATTGCTAGAAAACATGAGAGTAAAATATTATATAATGTATCCAGAGGAAAGAGTTTATTGCAGAGAAAATAGTCAAAGAGAGCAAGTTACCAAGGCAGAATAAATGCCCAGCAATTTTGATGTAAATACAACATTGCTTTGAAGTGGATGAAGAAAATTAAATAAATAGCTTCCAAAAGAATGAACAGGATTAAAAATAAAAGTGATGAAATTATTAACGTTGAAATTGAAGGGAATGCTTGAAAGAATATTTTAACTACTATATAGGAATGCTAGTGATAAGAGTAGAATTGAAATGAATAAATATTCGTATCCAAGAAAAAATAATGAAATACCGTGAAAATGAAGTTTTTAAAAATGATGATATGATTAGGTGGAGAAAGAATGCAGAAGGAACATTAGAAATATGTAAAGACAGTACTGATGTCTGATGATTGGAAGAATGTTATTCTCCTATACAAAGGGAAAGGAAGGAATGGTGAATATATAAACTTCAGGGGAATTCTTTTGTTCAGTGTCCCTGGAAAGATAAGTTTGGAAAAATTTAGATTGAATGAAAATGAGTACAATTTGGGAGCACAGTATAGCATTTTTTGCCAGATAGAAATCTGCAAATTACAATAAAGTCAATAGATATAACCCGTGAAATGTTTTGCATAAATATGGAGCTATTTGCCAAATAGAATAAAGGCAAAGGCATATATTATGGAAATAAGCTACATGTGAAATAAATAGAATGCATAGTGAATGATTTAGCACTGATCAGGAAGAAAGATAATGTTATATGATTTCCCCTTGGTTAATTAATTTATAAACATTAGGAATGGTTGTGATATTAGAGGTGCATTGTTTTAGACATCAATATAGAAGTACTTTCTGTACTGCATAAAGAAATAGACAAAACTGTATTGGTGGTTGACAGTGTAATGATCTCTCTCTCTCTCTCTCTCTCTCTCTCTCTCTCTTTCTCTCTCTCTCTCTCTCTCTCACCAAGGTAGTTGCATCTTACAGAGAAAATTATTGCTATAGAGATATTAAAAATGTGTGTATGTGGTAAAACAAGAACAGGTAGATTAAGAACATATGGGTACTGAATGAATATGGATTTAAATACAAAATTGAATTATAACCATGAAATAAAAGCAATATACTTGATAAAATTTGGTCACAGATAGCAAATGAAGGTTGACCTGTGGAAAAATATATATGGAGGAAGAGTAAATTCATCAAAAAGAAAACCAAAGAATTCATCACTAGAGTTGATGAGATTCTCAAATCACAGAAGTTAAAATTTTAAAGAGAAAAGGAACATATGCAGCAGTATATAGCTGTGGTGGAACAAGGCTCATTTGCAGGAATATAATATTACGAGGTGATATTGTTAATGGTGCTGAGATTAAAGTTGAATAAAATAGAATAACATAGAATAAAATGAAGAATAAAGTAGAATAATAATAATGATGATGAAAAAAATCATTATTCAAGTAAAATGATGTGTTTGCAAAATTCCTGGAAGAAAGCTGTGTTAGCAAAAGCTGTGTTAACTGACCTAATGCACATTTAGAAACATTGTATAAAGTAAAACTGTCTTCATTGTATTCCTATGAGAAATGAACCTAACATATGAGAAACTAATTGAATGATATACAATGTAGATTCTGTGTGTGCTCCCTTTGTTCTTTAGAAAGGGGAGAGCTATAAAGATTGTAGTTTGGAACCGCCCCCCTGTTCAGAATTGCTTGTCTCTATTGCTTCTGAATCTTTGCGCAAATAAACCTCTCTGTTACACCCTTTGGAATTCATAAAAGTCCTTTCGTTTTCCACAAGAAGATAAACCAGTTTAATTATATTTCCTTTTATTTTGCTTATCTCAATCCCATAATTTCTGTTCATTTTTTTTTTACTTTTCTTTATGCTCTAAATAAGTCTTAGTGCAAAAGGAAATAGTGTCTTGTGAACAGATACGTGTAGCAGCAAATTATAACATACCCAGCTAAATTCTGTTACCGTGTACTTATTTTGAATTTTTAATTCAGCTTTTATCTTTCTTTTCTGTTTACCTGAAAACTCTGCAAAAAGAAAATACTGTACACAATCAGGGTAAATATTAATATTAACATGTAAGATCTGCCAAACAAAGATGACCTAAATGATCTCTGAAAGGCAGAAAGAGCAAGGGTCAACATCAAATCTTGAGGGAATATTTTCTTGGCCTAGAATTAAGTTGAAGAAAGTTCTCTACCATATGCCAATTCAGTAAGTCTCTGGAAGAAGAAAAATCTTTTAAAAATCACTACGGCAGGACTTAAGTTCAGAACAGACAATTGATCATATTTGTAGGGTCTAAGACGGGTTCCCAACCTCCGGTCCATGGACTGGCACTGGTCTGCGGCATGCCAGAAACCAGGCCATGCAAATAAGCGAAGCCCCATCCACAGGATGCAGGCAGCACACAAAACCACGGTCCCTCTGGTCTAAAAAGAGAAAAATCTCTGTCCACGGAAGTGGTCCCTGGTGCCCAAAAAGTTGGGGGCCTCTGCTCTAAGACTTTTAGGGCTTTAAAGTTTAACATAATCTTAAACCACATTGAGTTATTTTATGACCCCTGAACCATATCTAGCCCTTTGGCTGGCCCTCATGAGGTCAATCAGAAATTAGAAATCAAATATAAATAAATATATGCCATGCACGTAATATAAATTCATTGCTTTTATTTAGAAAGCAACTATTTTTTTTTCAGTTTACTTATGTACATGTGTATGCACCTATGCATCTTCACAATCCTATTGATTTAGCCTTCAACAACAGTCCCAGTTCCTTATGTGACCTCGTGGAAAAATTAATCGCCCACCCCTGTCTTATGATGAAGTTTCGGTAGCATATTTTCGTCTTCCCTTGCAGTGTTCCTAACCACTGTGGCAGCCATTTTGGATATTTTTTTCCATGGCAACTATATTATGAGAGCCTATTAAATGTTGTTAAGATTTTCAGGGGTACCCTTTGAACCAAAAGAGTTTGGAGCACGGACTGCCATTTTTTTAGAGACTTCTTTAACTGGGTAAAAATAAAAAAAAATCTTAGCTTGCCTTATTCATAGAATGTCTCATTACCTCCAGTATGAATATGAAGTAATTGGGCAAGAAGAAATCACAGCAGGGAATTATAAAGCAATCTAGGATAATGTATTTTTCTAAAGTTATTTTATAAGTTATTATGTTTTATACACTGTAAAAATACACTAAAATTATGAAGTTGATTTTAAGTATGACATTGGGTTTGTGGAAAAATTGACTTCAAAATGTGATCAAAAGCTTTGAAATAGGAAATGAAGTACAAACAGACTGCCAGTTTGCTTATTTAATGTGGGCCACAATTGATCTTTAAAAGATTGCTACAGAACTAAATGCTAATAGAACCCACATTTCATATAAATGTTTCTCAATATCTAGAATACATACATACATGACAATGAAAGGTAGTCCTTGGCTTACGACCACAATTGAGTCCAAAATTTCTGTTGCTAAGCAAAATATTTGTTAAGTGAACTTTGGCCCATTTTACGACTTTTCTTGCCAAAGTTGTTAAGTGTATCACAGCAGCTGTTAAGTAACAAGGTTGCTAAGTGAATCTGGCTTCTCCATTGACTTTGCTTGTCAGAGTTTTGCAAAAGTGATTACATGACCCTGGGGCACTGCAATACTAAATGAGTCAGTTACCAAACATCTGAATTTTGATCATGTAATCATCGGGATGCTGCAATGGTCATAAGTTTGGAAAGCAGTAAGTCACTTTTTTAATGGTATTGTAACTTCAAACGGTCACTAAATAAACTGTTGTAAGTTGAGATCTACTTGTATTTAAGCTGAGCATGTGAGCATATGAACATTGGTCATGCCTTATCACCTTTTTACTTCCATTCATTCCTTTGCAGTAGAAATCCTAATTTATATCAATCAGCTTTCTTCCAAACGGTCACAGTAAGAAAGTACCATTCAACCGTGTCTTTTCCGTGTTGGCATCTTCTAAAAATGTTTTATGGCTCATGCTGTTTATTGTATTTATTTGTTAAGAAAATGTATATAGCCACCCAGCTCACTCTAGGTGACTCCAAGCAGCTTACTATTGTTTAGGTTTTGATGAAAACTTGTGACAGGAACTTGTGACACTGCAGCAAATAGACCAGTTTCACCAAAAAATCAAACTCTGCAATTCAACTATCACACAATATATTTGCCTGAGAAGTCACATTCAGAGCCCTGACTATTTCTCTTGTGGAGAGATGGAGTTGACATTGCTCCATACTAATGAAGAATATTTGCAATAGTGGCGAATATCTGTAGCTGAGGTGTAGGATGAGGGTGAAGATTTGTTCTCCAAGCTTGTGGATCGGTTTCTGAACATTTTATTATCAGACTAGGTAACATTCTTCAGTGGAGTTTAGGGGATGTCAGTGTTCTTTCGTTTATAAGGGCTTCGTGTGGTCAGTAGGTCTTGTGATGGGTCAGGTGTGGGCTATGTCAACTGAAAATCTTGTGATGGGTCAGGAGAATATTCTCCCTGGAACTCGTGAGCCTCAAAACAGTTCCTCCACTCTTCTTTAACTCTTGGCCTGCCGGTGCCTGAACGATTTCCCTGTATATAGCTGAGCTCCCTAGATGTCCGCTGGAAGTTCTTTAAAAGCCAGAAACTACCTCAAACAGAAGCTCCACTGACGCATAAGCGATTTCCTGCCTTTTCTACAATGGTTGGGAAAGGCTGAAGGAAAGGCGGGGGGGAGTCCCGCAGCGTGACACAGAAGTAAGGAACTTGACAACAGTAGCCGTGGCAACCAGAACTACCTCCTCCCCCTGCACCACCACCTCTTGCTCTTCTTTTTCTTTCTCCTCCTCCTCGGAGGAGGCGACCTTTTCTTCTGCCTCCCTGGCGAAGTTAACCCACACACGCGAAAATCCGAGCCTTCGGCTTCAGCTCCCTCACCATGCCGAAAGGGAGGCGGGCCAATCCAAGCACCACCCGGGACGGTATCTGGGTAAGGAAGGTGGCGACGGTCAGGCCAGAGTCTGGCTCACTTGGTCCGTTTGGCACGTGGAGGCAAGGAAGAGCCTGCAGGAGAGACGGTCAAAAAAAAAAAAAAAAAAAAAAGCATAATAGCCACGGATTTAGGGTTAGCAAATATTGCTTCGTCCAAGGAAAGATCCTTGTGTTTCGTCTTTCATTTCTTTTTAATCTCGGCCTTTGTGATGTATATACAGAGAGATTCCTATCTCTTTCACTAAAGCACTAAAAGTATTCCCGCTCAACCAAGTATCGCCCTGTGTCTCGTTGTGTGATTTAAGGAAAATCATTTCAAACTTTATAAAGCAGAATTAGAATTCATACAGCACATGGCTGGGTGAATAGATTGAAAGATTAAGTGTGGAAATAATCTTGTACTCCCTCCTTGAGAGTGACTAAGAGCTCTGCGCTGTAAAAAGTTATATTATCTTGGAGGAAGTGTCCCTTTTCATCCTAGTTTTGTCACACAAGATTGTTGTGAGAGAAAAGCAATCTAAATGTTGCTCTCACTGCTTGGAGGAAAGGAGGCAGAAGAATAAGGAATAATTTGAAATAACTTCAGTATAACACTTGCAGTTTAACATATTTATCTGCTCTAGTATTACTGATGTCTGCAAAATGTTACCAGTTAACAGCATCCCCCTCCAAAAATAGTTTCCTAAACTATTCTTCATTTTTATTTGAAGAAGATATAATTATGATGTACAAGCATTGTATATAATAGTAATGCTTTTCTTCGTATATAATTTAGCATTTCCCTCTATCCTTTTCCACCCTCCAGTTTATTTTTTCTCTTCTTCATACAATCTACTTGATTTGCTTTTTTTTTTTCTGTTTCACTCTTTTTTCCCCTTTTGGCATTACCTTGGTCTCTAATGGGAAAATATGATACAATAGAAGCAGTAACTGTTATTGTTATGAAATGCCAAATTGCTCTTGTGCTTTAATAAGGAATACAGTGTTAATATGGATTATTTCTTTCATATTGAATGCAGAGAACTATTGTTCTACATCATGCAAAATAAAACTTACTTAATGAAAGCTCTTGTAAAAATATGAATAATGCAATCATGCTGAAGATACCCTTTATTACATTTCCTTTTCACTTTTAATTTGGCCTTAATAGCAAGCCTCCTTGTCAAACATGCTTGCCTTTTATTCTTATGAATTGTCTTTTTCATTCCTATGTTAATATTTAATTGGTTACATACTACACTAAGGATAATTTGTTCAACATTATTTCAATGAGTAAAATTTGCTGAATTCACACAACATTTATACATTGCTTTTTGTTCTTTGCTGTTCTCATAGTTCTCTTTGAGAATCTCATCCAATCAGCCTATCCACTTCTTTATGAATCTTCTTGTTCACTCATTCCATTCTCTTTGTTTATATATTTGTTTTGCAGTCTTCATTTCTTCTCTCTGCATGGCCAAACTGCTTTAATGTACTTCCTTTGTACTAGTCAATCACTTTTGTATTAATCCACATTCATTCAGCACCCATTCATTCTTGAGCCTTTTCTTGTTTTACCAAGCACACTTCATTACCCTGGATTCCCACTATATACAATTTTATGGTTCCTCTGACATGCTCAGCTTCTAGATAACATTCCCACAAAGTGGCTAGATAGCACACAAGGCCATTTTATTTCTTATGAGTTATCTACTACCTTTTTATCAGTTTTGCAAATGTTAATGTCTGTCAATATTTGATACCAGTTATGCCTTCCAGCTTCCACTGTTCAGTTCCATTGCTTGTTAACTAGATCCTCAGTTGCTCTGAACTCTAACAATTAAACAACAGATTGGTATATAATAAGCCTTCCCTCTTCTGTAACTAACTCATGAATGAGGCTGCTGACCTGGCATGTATAATTGAAATAAAGGCTTTGTGCATAAGGCCTGCCTATCTGAAGGAATTGTCTCTTTCCCATTTGTGTCCTGTAAGATCTGATAGAGAAGGTGTGCTTCATATCCTATCCTTTAAATCAGGTGTGTAAAACTGCCAGCCCACAGGCTGAATGCATCACATGGAAGCCGCGCTCACCCCAGCTCTGGCAAGAGGGAAAAAGTCGCGATATGTCACGACACGTCATGTGATGCAGTGAGTTTGACACTCCTGCTTTAAATAATGCCATTTGAAAGGACCTAACAAGTGAATCATCTTTGTGACAGCATCGCCTTTTTGGAATAGTATTCCCCCAGAGATTTAGACCAGTGGTTCTCAACCTGTGGGTCGGGACCCCATTTGGGGTTGAATGACCATTTCACAGGGGTCGCCAAACAAGGCTGTCCACCATTTTTCCCCCTTTTCTTTGGCCTCGCCCCTGGCACCCGGTGATGTATAAGTGGTTGGGGGTCACCACAACATGGGGAACTGTATTATGGGGTCGCGGCATTAGAAAGGTTGAGAACCACTGGTTTAGACTCTCTTCAAGCCTTAAGCACTTTTTAAAAAACAACTTCCCTCTTCCCCCAAACTTTGGGAGAAATTGCTCATTTGTCATGCAGTGTGTTTCAGTTAGGGTATGTCTGTTTAGTCTTTTATGTACTGTATACTTTTTATTTTGTTTGTAAGTATTGTATCTGTTTTTAATTTGTACATTGAATCAATGTTGAATTGGGCAACTTTATACATCTAAATTATAATATATATTTTCTATATATTTTCCATTTTTAATAAACTCACTATTAACATAGTACAAAAATTCATGTGGAGTCCTAAGGGTGTACCATTCTGGAGGTGGCAATTGGATTAAGAAAAGACCCCACCTCTCCCCATGTCCTTGGTGCTCTCCTCTTCCCTATCTTTTAGTTGTACTTTTTATTTATTGTTTTATCATTTTAATGTCTACTGGCTTTAATGTTTGTAACTCGACCAGAGTCAAGATGAGCTCCCATCCTTTGCCCCAGCTCATGTCGTGCTGGGGACATGAAAGGAGCCCCCAACTGAGCTTCCTCCAGACAACGATAATGTCACTGGCTAATCCTTTCAACCTGGAAGCGGTGCTTCCGATATGAATACAATATGACCTGCCCAGAGCCCCCTCTAGATGAGATGGGTGGCACATAAAACAAATAAATAAAACAGTTTTGTTCAAATCCAATCAACCAAGAGGTGTATGTGTGTGTGTAATGTATTAGCATATTTTTATATATCATGTAACTTGGAAAATAGAAATTATGTTATGTTTTTATAAAGTGAAAATAGAATGAGATTTTGCTTCTATATGGAGCCTCTAGGTGTTGCTGTAATACAAACAATAAAATGCAGACTATAGAATCTGGCGTTTGTTTTTTAAGTATTGAATTGTATAGATTATTTTGTTTGTGTTTTGCAGTTCAAACAATGTGGAAACCTGCAAATATATCCAGAATCTCTTACAGCTACAATGCAAAAGCAGATATTTAATATAGATGCCAATTATCAAACTGGAAAAAATGTGCCACTGATGTACAAAGAACGTGAGAAAGTAAGTATTTTTCCAATTTTTACAAAACATCAGCTTATTATAAATACAAATCTAAGTTTGTTTTAAATTTTGAAACTTCTCAACTTTAATTTGTAGTTAAGTTAGTACTGTTATAGTAACAGACCAGTGTTTTCTCAGGCTGTTTGTTTCTGACGTGAGCAGATTTTCAATTGCAGTTACATTATATCCCAATCTGGATTTTCAAAATTGATGCAGACTTTCTCAGACTAGATTGCAGTCCCTGTGCTGTTGTGAGCACATCAGAGGTATAGTCTTTTTTTCTCTTTTTTTTAACTAATCAGACTTACATAGACAAAGTGGAAGCACTATCAAAACTTGCTTTGAGTTGCCTAGACATTGCTGTAGCAGGTTTACAGAGGCAAAACACTGAGCAAAACCCAGAGTTTTGAGAGATGTCTTAACCCTATGGGTCCAGCCATTTGCAAAGCCACCAGTCTCAGCAGAGTTATTTCTTAGTTATGCAGTTTTAATCATACACCATCACACAAATATTTGTCATGGGGGAAGATACTGAGATACAGCAAAATTGATAACCCTTATATTAAATGTATAATTTTTTTTAGCTGCTAAAATAGCAGTTGCCAGTAAAATGTAATGAAATTGCGTTTATCTCAATGTTATATTCCTATTTATTCAGAACTTTCATTTCATGACCTAGAGTAGGGGTGTTAAACTGCCGGCCGGTGGGCTGGTTGCATCATGTGGAGGCCATGCCCACCCCAGCTCCAGCAATGCGAAAAAAGTCACAATGACGCAGCGAGTTTGACATCTGCGACCTACGGTCAATTTGCCTATGCCTTTTAACAAATACAGTAAATTAGAATAAATCTACCATAATCTGCCTTCTCTTATAATATACCTTAGTGATATTAATAAATCTTACATTCACTAGTTAGAAGAATACAGATTAAAGTCATTTTCTACAATGTATGAAACTGTAAAGACAGTTTATATAGACATTATTTTGCCAAGCAAATATGCCTGTCTTTTTTCAAATGTATAGTCTATAGATAAATATGGTTTTGATCTGATCACTGACATATGCTGCAACAATTTTTTATATGAACAGTACAAATTCCTTTATGTTTGCTTCAACTTCTCTAAGGAGCCAGCAATTCCAGGTTCAGAACACTTAATCAAGTTCAGTTTGGGATGAGATCACCATAGGCTTAACTCTAATCCTTTCATAAAAGCAAAAAAATGAGGGAAAAGCAAAGGCACAACAATGCTTCAGGCTTTTGAGAAAATAGTTTATTATATTTTAGATAGTGTACAATTCCATCCTGAAGAGCTTTTGTTTCTTCAAAACTTTTTATAGAGCACAGCTTCTAACAGAAAGTGATATGGAATTTATAGGAGGAATTTTGAAATTAGCCCTTGAGGAAGGATTTGTATCTGAAATGTGCTAGACAGTAATGAAATTATTTTATAGCACCTGGAATTTTTTTGTTGTTCTTACACAGCCCCAAAGCTTTAGCTTAGTTGTCTTTCCTAACGAAAAATGGCAATTTGCTCCACTTTCTATTTATATCTAAAGCAGATAAAGATTATGTTATGTGGAGTGATAGAGTATGTGTGTGTTTGTATCAAAGTATTTGCTTTTTAATACTGGCATATCTGATAATAACTAGCATGTTGATCAATGTGCTTGATCACTCTTTTTTTAAATCCTCCTGCTTCCAGGTGTAGATAACTACCTGTGCTTAATTTGTTTGTACACAGAAATCAGGGATTAACTAATAATTAACTAACCACAGATGGAGCAATCAATATTAGCCGTACTTCCTGAGAGGCGGTGCCTATAAAAGTGAACAAGTGGCATGGATCAGAACTCTGCTTCTTCCCACTAGTTGCTCTAAGTCCTTTCTTCATTTATGTATGCATGCTATTTTTAGCTGGTTTTCAGCCTAAGCCCTCACAGTAGCTTTCAGAATTGAAAAAAGAAAATAGGACAGTATCTAATAGACACAATTACAAATCAGATATGTTAGTAGACTAATATAAAAAGATCATAAAGTAACGTAGGTTGATATAACATATCCTATAAATGTCTATTTAAGGCAAGTAAAACCCATTTAATTTTACATGGCTTAATCCCCCCAAAAAACTATAGATTTGCAGCATAAACTATTTGATTCAGTTTGGTTAAATAACAAATTAGTTGCCTCATGCCAAAAAGAAAACAAAAAGAATGCCAAGCAAAATTCCCTGGAACAAAAGTTGTAGAGGCACTTACTCAATACATGTTCACACAACATGCTAAGCCAAAAATGAAGAAACTACAGTGTAATTTATTTCACTGTATGAATTTAGCCATTATGTTTTATAAAACCATGGGTTTTGACTTTATTCAAAGTCAGTTATGGCTTATTCAGCAAAATATGGTTAAGTATCCCAAGACTCAGTGCAGTGTATGAATTTTGCTTGGTTTACAACATTATTTTTTTTTTCAGTTTATCAAACCTGTAAGCCAAAACTAGGTAAACTATATTATGAAATGCATAATGTCTCATCTTAATTATTCCAATGAACAGTTGTAGTTTTTGGAAACAAATGATTGACACCTTAAGAAAAATATTTGAATATTGTTTTGATCAATGTAGTGTTTTGTTGTATGTTTTCATGGTGAAGGATTTATTTTTGTGGAAAGGAAAGACATTTTTAATCTGTAATATCTGAGTGTTTTTGTAATCTCATAGGTGTTCTGTTTGTAGTAATTGCAAGCACACTTTAGACATATTGAGTAATAAAGCAAAAGGCAGGCAATTTTTGTGAAAATTGTTTGGTTTACACTTTATTGGTTTATCAAATCTATTATGAATGGCTTTTTATTGCTGCAACATATATTTATTTCTGTAATAAAATCCATTTCCTTGTGTTTTAAATCCATTGTTTCTTGTCCTATATCCTGGAACAAATCTGAACAATTCTGTCCCATCTTTTAAATGATAGCTCTTCAGATATTTGAAAACAGTTTTCATGTCTCTCTGTGGTCTTCTGTTCTTCAGGCTAAACATGCTCCTTAGGGGTTTCTTTCCAATCCCTTTACCTCATTCTCTTTTCTCTGCATATTCTTGTCAATGCCTTTCCTAAAATGTGCCCAGACCTGGATGCAGTAAACTAAGTGTGATGTGATTAAAGCAAAATAGGGAAGAATTATGACTTGACTTAATCTATATTTCTCTTGAAGCATCTTAGAATTGCTTTTGCTTTTTGGGAGTGCATCTTCAACTAATGATGTATCAAGACAGCCAGACTTTTATTGCATGTAGTGCTGCTTAGTTTGATCCCTTCCTATCTTATGATTTGGATTTTCCCTGCTTAAATGTAAGACTTTGTATTTGTTCCCTTTAAACTTCCATCTTATTTAATTCCACCCATTGTTCTAGCATATTAAGATTTTCCTGTTATTATCTCACTCTAGTCATACTATGAAACTCTGATCCAAATCATTTATAAATATTTTAAATAACCCAGATACCATATCTGAGTTCTGAAGTATACATTTGGCACTTTCCTACAATAATTAGCAATGGTTCTAAAAAGTAACTGACTCTAACACACTTGTTCTTTTTCAAGGATATGTCTTTGCATGCAAGGAAGAGATTAAAAACAGCACATAAAGAAAATGGTATACTACTACAGCTTAATTGGTAATAGGAAATACTTAACAGTAGGAAAGAAAAATGCAGGTTTTCAAAAGGTTTTTACACGGCTTTCTCTTTTTCACAGTATTTCATAAATTACAAATAGTTAAAACTATATTAGTTACAAGAAATATATTAGTTTCGGTTATTTGTAATCTTTTAGATCAGATACCTATGGCAATCTTCAGGGACAATTTATACAGGAGATTTTTTTTTTAGTGCAGCTGAAATATAAGCTACAAATTAAAACTACTAAATTGTGTGTGCTGCCATTGCTATTCAGTACAGAACTCAAATCCTATTATGAGATTTTTAATATCTATAATACAGGACCATATATACTTAGTTTGACAAGCAAGATCATTAAAGTGGAATGCATTTTTTTCAGATCTATGTACAGAATAAGATATTAAAGACAATATCTTCTTTTTCCTGTGATTTTAATTTTTTCCCTTGGATTCTGATATGGAAAGTTTTCAATCTAAAGCAGAGATGTCAAACTCGCAACGTGACGTGTCACAACTTTTTTTCCATTGCCGGCAATGGGGTGGTCACCGTTTCACCGTGATACATCTAGTCCATGAGCTGGCAGTTTGACACCCCTGATCTAGAGATTGCAGAAATGTTTATTGATTTGGGATCATTTAAACTAAAGACAGAAGGATCTTTCCTATGGCATATATAGGTGAACAGTGATAGCTGGAATTATATAAATCTTTCATAACTGTGAAATTGAAACTTAATTTCCTTTATAAAGTATATACAGCATATTCATTGAATTGTATAAAGCAAATATATGGGGAGTAAGGTGAAAAATGAGATGAAAGACCTGATCAATTATTGACCTCTTGATTGAAATAGCAGCAATCAAGTAATAACAATTCTGTTATTAATAGTGCTTGGAACAAACTATATAATTAGTCTAAAATAGTAAATCGGCATGTAGTACTGAGTGAGATTACCAAGGAAGAAATTGGTCTTTTCTAAAAACTATAGAGCTTTTTCAATGATTACATGTGATCAAGATAATATCAAGCTGCACCTTTTTCTATTCAGGGAGTGATAGCTATATTAAATCTATGAATCTGAAAAGTTCCTGGTCGCGATAGCTATTCTATTGAGTGATATAAAACATATCTTGATCTTCTTTCACTCCTATATTTCTGGAGATTTTATTATTTATTTTATTTATTATTGCTGGAGTACAGTTTTTCCAATTTCATTAAAGTTGCTGCCAGAATTTGTACATTGAACTTGGCATGTGGATTACAGATTTTTTTAATTGTTTATTGTACCATCTGATTTTTTATAAACAGATGACAGAACTCAGACAACATTATTGATACTTTAGTTAGACATTCAGAAAAAAGGGAATCCACAATTTAGTGAATGCTGAAAAAACCCTGGGTATGGTAGAGATAAGTTTTTGGGACAAGCTTAAGCCAAATATGGATCTCCATTTTCCTTAACTGGATTACAGAGGAATTATTGAATCTGTCATTTGTACTTCTCTAACTATCTGGTTTGGTACAACAGCCCAATGGGACAGACTTCAATGGATAGTTGGGACTGCAGAAAAAACAATTGCAAACAACCTGCTTTCCATTGAGGACCTATATACTGCACGAGCCAGAAAGAGACCTGAGAAAATATCTACAGACTCCTCACATCCTAGACACCCCAGTACGCCACTATAAACATTGCATACCAAAACAACTAGACACAGTTTTTTCCCACATTCATCTTTCTGCTGAACACCTAATTCCCACAGTACTCTTTTATGTCTAAGGATATTTACCCATGTAGTAGGGCTGCACTACTATTATCCTTCTCATCTTTCCTCTTACCTTTTACCATTGGTATCTTATGATTATGTTACTTTCTTGTTTGTTGTTTGTATGGACACTGAGAGCTTATGTACCAGAGACAAATTCCTTGTGTGTCCAATCACACTTGGGCAATAAAGAATATTATTTATTGTACTGTATATTGTACAATGCCCTTTATACATTTAATTTGATATTGGATCCACTAAGCTGTCTGAAGGACATTCTGAGTGTTAAAATTGCTGAATTAAATAAAAATTATGAATGCTATATATCAAAATTTAATGATACAGCTCAGTAAATTGTCCACTCAATTGTAGTAAGTGTCCTAAACATAGGAGATACACACACAGAACCAGATAGATTGTATTATATACATACATACATACATACATACATACATACATACATACATATACATAAGAAATACTCATGTGCATTTGCTGCTTGTCGACTTCAGTTCGGCGTTTAACACAATCATTCCCCAGCATCTAGTAGACAAACTGGGTCTTTTAGGCTTAAACACTCTTTTGTGCAACTGGATTCTTGATTTTCTTACCAACAGGCCCCAATACGTGTGAGTTGGAACAAATACCTCTAATACCATTTTCTTGAGCACAGGTTCTCCTCAGGGCTGTGTCTTAAGTCCGCTGCTGTTCACCCTGTTGACCCATGGCTGTTGTGCTAGGTTTGCCACCAACCATATTGTGAAGTTTGCAGATGATAGTAGGCCTTATTCAGGATAACAAGGTGGAAGCTTACCGCAAGGGTTAGTGAACTGGTGTAAGGAAAACAGCCTAGTTTTAAATACCGGAAAAACCACAGAGATCATTGTCGATTTCAGAAAAGGAAGGCACAGCCACACTTCTCTGTGCATAAATGATTCACCTGTGGAGATGGTTACCAGCATCAAATTTCTGGGTGTGCAGCTAACGAGCAGGCTGACTTGGTCGCTCAACAGTGAGAAACTGATGAAGCGGGCACAGCAGCACCTGCATTTTCTGCGCCACATGAGGAAAGCACATCTTCCTTCTCCTATCCTGACCACTTTCTACAGGGGGACAATCGAGAGCATCCTGTCATACAGCATCACGGTCTGGTTTGGAGGCATCACTGCTTCAGATAGGAAGGTGGTGCAGAGAGTGGTGAGAATGGCTGAAAAGATCATTGGCAGTTCCCTCCCTCCCATCCAGGACATAGCACAGAAGCGCTGCTTGAGCAGGGTCCGTAAGATTATCTGGGACACTACACATCCTCTTCACGACCTATTTTCCTTGTTACCTTCTGGGAGGAGGCTTCATGGTATCCGAAGCAGAACATCCAGATTCAGCCAGAGTTTCATTCCATACAGCATTAACTGTGCGAACTCTCAAGCTTCCTCCTTCCATTATATATTCAAGATGAACAATATTTAATATTTATTTGCTATGTATATGTAGGGATGTGGGTCTATACATATGTTGTTCATAGTATGTTTAGGTGTGTGTCATATATGTGTTTCACTTTGAGAGCGGGCAACTAAATTTCATTTTTAATGTGTGCCATTGTGCCCACAGTATAAAAATGACAATAAAGGTTATCTTATCTTATGTATGTATATGTGTGTATGTATGTATGTATTTTAATTAGCTCAATATATTAATTACCTGAGTGGTACCAATTCTTCAAAAAAAGACAAAGAATGTCACATTACTTACAGTTGCTTACATCCCATAGCCCAAGACAAGCTTTTACAGAACTTTGCTTTCTAATAATGCCAATAGCTTATTTGGATAGAAGATATAGAGGCTTACCAATTGTACTACGTTTATGCATCTGTAATAACTTGAAGGAGGAAGATCTGAAAAATACTAGTAATAAAAAAAAATAGAAATGTATTGGTTCCAGGTGTTGTCCTTTACTTCCTAACACAATCCTGAGAAGATTTAGATAAATTTAGATATATTGTTTTTTCTGGTCTATAGTCTGGTTATATTTTGAACACCAAAAATTATTCTTTATTTCAGAAAAATACACTGGTTATTTAGTCCTTATTTAATTCTATGATTCTAAATTAAGAGTCTTAACATTATTAGGGTCTTGTTGGAAAGTAGGGAATGTGTTGACTTTGTTTCAAAGAAAATTAGAGTTTTCTTTGCTTTTGCTTAGTGTAGAGAACAAAACATAGGAGACTGCAAATAATAAAATTTAACATGCATCCATATGTTTTCTAGATTTGGGATGTAGTCCTTTTAAATACATATTCTGCCATTTAATATATAGTATCAGTGTTCTGTATTGAGCTCATAAATCTAAGGTTGACTTAAATTATGAGTTTCCTTTTGAAGTTCAGTTTTTATTAGCAGTGAACTCAGTAGTAAGCCTTTAAAAGATATCCTGAAATTATTTTAGTAATTTGTTCCCATAAAAATAAATATGATTTCATTCAATAGCTCTGCATGCTTAAGATTAGATGAAATTAAATTCTGTTATGAATATATTATTTACTAATAGAAACAATGCATTTGTATCACACATATTTACATATGCATGTAATTTTGATTTCTGTAGAATATGAAAGCTATGATCCTGTTGTATGAATGCACAAGACTTTTTTAAAATTTTCTTTTAGAAACCAGCAAATACATTTCCATTTTCAATCCATGATAATAAACATTGTTTATTGACTATGGGAGAGTATTTAGATTCTGTAAGTATTCTGTTTTAATGGTATTTTCTTAAGAATAATTTTTAATAATTCTCTGTAGGGTATGTAATATGTTTTGGAAATATTTATATTCATTCAGTATTACAGAATTTCCTTTCTCTAAGCTGAATGGCAAAATTGATGACAACTTATTGAAATTTTTTGTCAGTTATGACACATAACAAGTTATAGGCTGTTAATTTTCTTTTGTCGAAATTTAAATATATTTATAGTTCTTGTATAATAGCATTTACTAAATAATAGGGCAATTCATATTTTTCCAAAATTTGAGATGTACTAGAGGATCTTTAGTTCTTGAAAATACAGAGAAGTTTGTATACAGGTAGTACTCAACTTATGACCACAATTGAGCCCAAAATTTATATTGCTAAGTGAGAAATTCTTTAAGTGAGTTTGCCCCATTTTATGACTTTTCGAGCCACATTTGTTAAGTGAATCACTGCAGTTGTTAAATTAGTAACATGATTGTTAAGTGAATCTGGCTCTCCCATTGACTTTACTTGTCAGAAGACTGCAAATGGGGATCACATGACTCCAGGACACTGCAAGCGTCATAAATGTGAATCAGTTGTCAAGCATCCAAATGTAAATCATGTGACCATGGGGATGTTCATAAGTGTGAAAAATAGTCATGTCAATTTTTTCAGTGCTGTTGCAACTTTGAATTCACTAAATAAACTGCTGTAAGTGGAGGATTATCTGCAGTATCAAAAAATACTGACATGGACATCTAAGGTCCATCCGGAAGTTGTCTTATATGTGGTTTGCAATACTTACCAGGAATGCTTTACACACTTCAGTTAGAAACAGATACATATTAAAAATATATTACCTGTATCTATTCGGTAATAAGTGATGGAATTTCCCATCTTTTTTGAGCTTGAGGAAAAGAGACTGGTTTTCTAAGATACAGCATGTTTCTATGAGGTCCACACTTCTACTGCAATAATGTTGCAAAAACTTACTTTTGCTATGTAACAGATGAGAATAAATTTCAGAAATAATTTGTGATTAATTATCAACACGCTAGCCAAGATCTTTTACTAAAGCCTTTCCTGATGGTTCTCAAATGTAATACAGAACATGCTATCTTAAATATCATTCTAAAATAAATGCCTTCTCATTTCTTTTAGGGACTAGGAGTAAGAAAATTTCAAGAAAAGTGTCAACACTATTCGCCAAACTACTATTTTTTGGCCCATGAGCAAATTCCTAGCAGCAATGCCTACCATTCTGTTTATCAGACTTCATTTGTCCAATATCCAGATATTAAACATTCCATTCTAGGTCGATTTCCTAAAAGCCATATTGATAAATGCATTGCTCTGCATTCTGCACCTAAAAATGATTACATGTGGTTTTCAAAATGTTATACTGGTTCTAATCATATAACTCCTACAGAGGTTACTAAATGCTCAGAACCTGAAAAACTTTCAACTGCTGAAGAAGAAATAAAGTAAATTTTCAGATGCTCATAATAATAAAGCATATTTCATGTAGGACATAAAATACTTTTTTAAAAAAATGTAAGGGATCCAATCTTTTCTGAAATGATTTCCAGAACCTAAATGGCATTAAAGTCATGGCAATTGGGTGAATGGTTGTATTCATACACTTTATTTCCTTAAAAGATCAATGCTGTCATAGGAAAAGGAAACTTTTTAATACTGCTTTGAATATACATTTAGTTTTCCCTTCTCAAAATAAATATTAAAATGTTTCACTTTTTATTGTGACTTCAGCTAGTTAGTTCTATAAAGTAATTATTAAAATGTGTTCATATATATAAAATAGTGACTATTCCTTTGTCATTGTCATCATATTATGAAAAATGGTGCTTAACCAGTCATCTTTAATGCTATTTTTAGGCTAGGAAAAAATGGGGAAATGGTTCTTGAATTCTCTAAAATTGAGGAACCTGTTTTGGTTGTTGATAAATACACAGAAGTCCACATGCAGTGGTCACTGTCACCTCACTAAGGAAATGTAGCCTCTGAGGTGCTTGGAGTTATATTTACACAATTGCATATGTACATGATATATTTAATCTGATTGTCTATGGTACTCTCAAAAACAGAATATCCCTTGTAACAGTAGCTCCCTATACAAAAATCACACAAACAATAACTGTGTAGCAATTTTGTAAACAGTTTAAATGGGGGAAGGGGTGGGGGGCTTATGTTGAGAGACAGGCATAGCACTTTGAGAGATTGTAAATAAGAGCCATTTATAGAGAAGGTGAGTTCTTACCTTTTGTTGGAAATTGCCAGTGAGAACAGCAAGGCCAAAGGAGAGAAATCCAGAAATTGAGTCCAGGATTATAACCAGATGTTCAGGTTGTCTGGCAAGAAGGCAAGAACAAGAAGCCAGTCCAAAAACAGGAAGCTGTTTCCAACAATGAGAAAAGAGTCGAGAGGTTACTCTTGCATAACCCTGGTTCCTGGTATAACATAATTAAGGAGTCGTCTTTTGAGAGCTGACTACTTCAGTCCTTACCTACATAATTGTTGATATATTCTTGGACTAGAGTTCTGGAGCAGGCCCCTTATGCTTTGAGTTCAATCACACCTGTTCTGGTTCATTGATTCTGAATTGTCTGATTGTTCCCCAGTCTATTAGACTTGGTATCAGGTCTCCCTTTTGAGCCTCAGGTTTATAGAAGACCATAACATTAGAGATGCATCTTAGCTTGTTCTCATCTCTTATACAGAAATCATAAAGGGGGATGAAAGCACGGCAATAAAAGACATTGCAATGATGATCCGAATGGTAGGAAAAAAAGCAAGAATAAAGTCATAGAAGTAAATATCCTCAATAAGAAAACAAAGGAAATGTGGATTGGAAAAAGGTTTCAACTAAGATCATTGTGGATTGCCCAGAGATTTTCCATGCCTGTTCTTGAAGGTTTATAATTGATAAGAACTATCAGATACCACAGTACATTGTCTCCCCTGATCAAGACACTAATCCATGGACATCACTTATTTTATAGTTATATTCATAAAATTCATTCTCTCTCAACAAAAGAAAGTTTTAGGAATATATGATTATTGGAAAACATCCTTTTTTTTACAGTATCAGTTATTCTTTATTTTCCACAATCTCACTAAATCTACTGAATGTTATCAACTGTTGTCAACCGCTGAGATCAACCCAACCCCAAGGCATTTTAAGTAACTGAGTTGAAATGAATTTAGCTTAATGCTTGAAATAGCATTGTTTTCTCATGGCTAGTTGCTAAAATTATCTTTACTGAAGTTAGAAGATTTTGCAGTTTTCTGACTGAAGCATATAACCATGAAGATGCAGTTAAGCATCTTAACACTTTTTGCCAAAAACATTAATGCGAGATGAATCAGCAATAAAATTCTAAGCCAATAGAGAAGTTTCTCATTTAAATTATATACTATACACACACTCGGTGTATTAATTGTACACATTCAATGATATACTTGTTTTATGGAATATTTCCAAACGAATGTAGTACATACCTCAACAAATATGGTAAAAATGGTGATGATGATTTTGTTTGTAAAAGACTCCCTGTTGAGATCCCTGTGTGCTGCTGCATATTTTGAAACACAAAACAATTAACATTATCTCTAGAAAGTAACAATTAACATTATCACTAGAAAGTAACAAAGCCAAGAGCATTGCATTGTTAAAAGGAAGTGATTTCTTATTTCATCACTGATTAAAGCAGCCTGTCTCTTGCAGTATCAGAATTTCCACAGCTTTAGCCAAAAATTTCATCCCTGAGCAGATTCCAAACTAAAATGCATGCCAGTTGAATAGTATGTGAAGTACTCCATGCTGTTTGGCATACTCAAGAGGGCAGTCTGGGTCCTCCTATGGAAGGAAAAATGCATTATTTTTACATTTGTATTATTTATCTCAGGTTTAATATTATGTTTAATATTAATATTAAGCCTTTTTATAAGAGCAAGCAAAGATTCCAAATTACTTAATTCTAGCTAATTCTCTGTAATCTAGATTTCATAAAGATTTTCAATTTTATATTTCACTTGTACATAATTATGTAGATCCCTGTTCAATAGATGATATCCATTATAATTAACAGGATTAGATTAATATTTGTGCACTGAAAAATGAATCTGAGCTTTGATCTTATGGAAGATGACATTAGCATCTTGAACTTGCAAAACAGGACAAAAGGACCATTGATATTAACCCAGCATAAAGTGTAACATTGATAGAGATTATTGTGAGTAGAACATAATAAATTAGGATATTACTACTTATTTTTTATAAGTAATGGTACAATAGCATTAAGATTTCTCACGTATTTCAGGCAGAGAAGCCATCAGTTGCATTATGCTGCTGCTCATGACCTGCCTGTAATCTCCACATATGAATGCATAACCTGTTGTGCATCTCAAAGGATTACCACATAGCCTAAAAGTTGTAGCAGTATAATTATCTAACCCACAGGTACAATTATCTAACGCACCCCGGCTCCGCAAAGGCAAAAAAAATCACGATACATCAGGTGATGCAATCAAGTTTGACACCCATGATCGAATGGCTGTGGATTTCTCATGTGGAGATTGAAGGAATTTTGTCATTAGCAAATACAGCCAAACCAAAGCAGTATTTCAGTATTTTTAAATGCTCTGTCCTTCACACGTCACACATCATTTTAAATATCAGATTTTTTAAAAAAAATTCTGAATGGGCAATTGCCCATATTATATAAGTAGCTTGAAAATTCCAGTCTTGCAAGCCTGTCTCCAAGCATCTTTGAACGGAAGTTATTTAAATCTTCCCAGTGGGGAAGAAAGTGTTGTAAGGGAGTTCGCTACCTTATGTACCTATTGGGAACCAGTCCCTTGAACTTGAATGCAATCTGTTTCTGATCATACAAGTAGAGGGTTGGGTATAATTCTAGGAATTTATCTAATTTTAATTTGAGCAGGAACCTGTTTTTCTGCTTTCAGAATTGAAAGTAGATAGAAGGAAAAACATCTATTTCCTGTGTTTCTAATGAAAGGCACAAATTCATTGATAGGAGATGCTAATTGAAAAAAAAACTTAAGCCCACTAGAGGTCATGTACCAGAACATCATATGTAATTTATTTGAAATATCTGTTTCAAGTTGCCAACACAAAGTCTAAATAAAATGGGTTTGCAAAAAAATATATTTTTGATGAAAATATCCAAACCATTTTCTTAAAGTGCTTTTCTATAGGAATAATGTGCTGGTCTATTATAAAAATGTAATAACTTCCAAAGCAGTTTTATTTTGCCATTTCCTCCCCTGTAGGTTTTTGCAATATATTTCTAGAAATACTCTATGCAGTGTAACACAAAATAATATCTACAGCAGTAATAATAAATTAGATGCAGTGGGAATTCAAGCTTATATTTGTGTCCAATGAGGTAGTATAGAAATCATTCATAATGAAGAAAATGTAATTTTAATGCTACATGTTGTATTGAACATGCCTGAAATTATACAGCACAACATTCTTGTACTTAGATATAATCAATGTTTTAAAATACCCCATATGAATAACAAAAGTATCTACAGCTATAAGCATTTTCTTTTATATGTAATGGCAGATATCAATTCAATCTCTGAATATGTTTTACTTAAATCATTTATTGAAACCACTGCAAATCAATAAGCATGAAAAACATCTAATTTTCCTGAGTAAATATACTACACTGATAGATTTTTCCAAAATCTAAAAGTGTTTACTTATTTAAAATTTATATTAGTAAGATTGCCCCACTCAACACTGTCTCTGGACAGTATACAGATTAAAACAGATAGTGTCTAAAACAAAACAAAACAGTAAATATAATGGGGAAATAGATATACTCTAACTGAAATAGATACCACACCAGATATGCACAACTGGATTTATTCCAAACCTTGCGAGGGGTGGAGCATGATTCCAGAGTTCATTTAAAAGCTTGCATTGTTGGGGCAGTCTGAAATGGGGGGGGGGTATTCCAAAGATCAAGCACCATAAGACAAAAGCTTTCTAGATCCCATCAATTGACATAGGTTAGTGTATGAGGCATGAATTGTGCCACTTTGTCTGATCTTATAGGGCAGGTAGAAATTATGAGAAAGTGATAGACTCTCACATAACCAAGCCATCTGCCATGAAGGATTTTAAAAAGTAATAGCCACTACATTCAATTGCATCCAGAGAACACAGCAAATTCCACATTTTGGATAGAGAGGACCGCTAGTTTGAAAGAGGGGTCAAAGAGGCCATCTACATTAAGATTTGACAACCCTCTCTCAACAGAGAGGGGGAGTGATATGGCATCACCTATTTCCTGTTTACAACACAGTTCTTTCAGCAGTTCCAAGAAGGTTCTACACCCATTTGCACTATTCAGGTGACCCTGAGTGCACAGAAAAACCTCCAAGTAGCCTCAACGACTCTCAGAAAGATTGCTAATGACCAGATGACTGCAAGGAATATAAATCCTTCCATTCTCCAGTATTCAGTCAGAACTGAAGATGCTTTTTGGATAATAAGCAACATGTCTTCAAGGAAAAACAAAGCACTTTTGGGAATAACAAAGGTATGATAACCTTTGATTTTTATCATTTATTTGTGCTGAGTTCTTTAATCAGCCTTCTTCATTCACTGAATTTTATTCTGTATTTAGATGATGTTTTTTTCCACCAATAACTATTCCCTATTTACCCATTATTTCATTCTTTTTCTTTCCCAGAAAAAAAATATGTTACAGGAAAAAATGGGAAAGCTATGTGACCCATCAATCCATACCAGCTCAAAGGCTCACACACCAAATTTCCTCAAAGATATGAAAACTTTCCAAACTTCTGTAGATGATACCACATCTTCCCAGATTAGAAATTGCCAGGAATCAAAGGCTACAAGGAGGAACAGGGGCTTGGAATTTTCTGATTTCTTTTCTGCTATCCCAACCATCCTCAAAAAGTGATTCCTGAAGTTTAGTGAAGTCTCTGAAGTGAGATTTGATGAAGAAGATAATGTAGCCCAGTATTTTTCAAACTTGGCAACTTTAAGACGAGTGGATTTCAACTCCCAGAATTCCCTAGCCAATATGCCCATAAGAGAGAAAATTAATAACCAACAAGAAACAACCCCTGTGCACATGAAAATGCTTTTCCTTCTACAGTGAGCACTTGAATCTCAGACAATCACTTTAGCCCACTACATTCTTACAGCTTCCATGGAAATTATTAAAAAAACAAAACTTTATTCATGTTCTTGAAGATTTCACTCTGTTCTTAAGGAAGTACTACAATGAAGTCATTTTGTAAAAAAATATTTTCCTCAACACTATTTCTAGCATTTGCATGTGAATATTGCCCACCCTGCTGTTTGATTAAACTAATGTCTTTTTAAAAAACAATAATAACCAGATGAACCCAGATGCAGTAGAGCACTTTCCATTTTCATCAAAAGCTTGTTGGGGTGGAGGGGAAACTAATGTTCTTGGAAATACATGACTAATGAGAATGTATATATAGCACTTCTGAGGGAACTCAGAATGTGTAATTATTATGAGGATTTCACATACGCATAAGTATAATGATCTTTTGGTAGGTAAATTGCTAGCTAGCAACGAAATAAATATGATCCTTTCAGAATCTGAAATCATTTGGTACTGTAGGTGGGTTAGAAATGATTCACCTTAGTTGTTATCTCTGGAACAGTAATATAGAAAAATATCTGCCAGGACTGGAGAATTTACATTGTTCTTCATATCCTGTGGAGTTTTGTCAGAAGAACTCTGGTCCCTGCTGATTTCCAACCCCTTATTTTGATAAGCCATAGCACAGTATGAAGCAACAATGGGTTGGAGCAGCTATATTGTTTACTGTGGAAGGCATTCTGCCCAAAATATTTTCCCAAGAAACACTGATGTATTCTAAAGGTCAGGTTGATGTTGAATTCACTACTAAGCACGATTTCATCTTTCAAAGACTAACGTAGCTGTGGCTGCTTCGGGATAAAGGTTAAATTGTTTTTGTAAGCACTGGAGAAGTGAAAAATACACCTCTTTAATATGTTATTTTTCATTCTAATAATGTGTACTGCCTGGATGAATGAAGTCAGATACTTTATTCACCCAATGAATGTAAATTGAAATATCTGGGAATTTATCAGAATGTGGTTATAATTAAATAGGAAGTGGGTATAATTTTATATAGGAAGATAAACATGAGGACGGATGGGGGTCATTCTTATGCTTTGGCTGATAGGATTTGTTATACAGTTAATACAGTACCACTAGCTTTTATAATAGCTATTAGCATTAGATGAGCTCCAAAAGAAAATCTGTTAACAAATGTGTGCAATTTATTCCTCCTATCTTTATTAAACATTACTTCCACAGATGTATCAAAATGACTTAAAACATGCTTTGAACAAAGCATAAATTAAATCAATTACAATATTATCAACAGGGATCAGATGAATCCAGGTTTTTTGGAAATAAATGTTACCTATTTTAGAAGATGGAATACAGTACACAAATTTTCCGACATTTAAGCTTCCCTTATTCTTAGTTTCAATTCTATGAGTTATTATACAGCGAGGAACTCTTTAAATCCTGACACCACTAGTGACTAAATTTCCTTGTACTTTTGATCTAGTTATACT